TGCAAGGCTATATTTCTTTATATTTTTCAACCAAAACAACATGCCTCAACAGATTGCATGAGGAAGCATATAGGAAACTCCAGCTCTCTTCTATTATGCCAGACATTAAAACACTTTGCAAAAATATGAAAACAATGATACTCATCATTAAATTATTTTTTTTTGGAAAGTATAGTTACTTTTCATAAACATTTTTGTGTTAACACGTAATGGGTATATAAGTTATTTTCAAATGAATGACTAAATAAACATAAATTTATCAGTTTTAATTTCAAATACGGTACATATCAATTGATATAAACTATGTAAACTCTTTGGGGGTCTCCTCAATAGTTTTTAAGAGAGTAAAGGGGTGCTAAGATCAAAAAGGTTGAGAACCACTGACCTAGAAATTAATCCATAAATCCATCTCAATATAATCCCTGAATCCACATCCGCAGTCCACAGAAATTCTGAACCCAAAATCGCATTTAACAAAGTACAGCAAATGTTATCAAAAAGTATAACCATAGTAAATTGGACATATTAAAATTGTTTATAATAACTGGAGTTTCCAAAGTTGAAGTAGTCTTATTTAGTTTTATATCAAAAGTAATAGGAGCTCTGCTAAACTAAAAAAAAAATAGTTTATTATTATGTTGGAAATCAAAGTAGATTACGGCATGTGTTTTTTTGTTTTAATGCCACAAGATATCATGCTCAAATACTCAACTTTATCTATGATATTAAAAAGTGGAACCTCCTCCAACAACGCAGACAGGAAACCATCCAGACACACCCATCATCTGGAAATTTTATCCTTATTCTCCCATAAGGTAACCACAGAGGATACACACAATGTGTTACAGGATATCTATATTATCTCTGATACTATGAGGGTACCAATGGAATAATCTGCCTTTTCACCATGTCACGTGACATGATAGTCCTAGAGTCAGGGACCTTAGTTTAAATCCTGTCTCTTTTCTTTTCTTTTTCTTTTTCTTTTTCTTTTTTCTTTTTATTTTAAACTTCCTCAATGACATCTTCTGTTCTTGTTCTTCAAAGTTCCTCACTGGTTATACGATTCATCTTTTTCACATTATCCATGCACCTCTCTATTGCCCTTTGAATGATACTCACTTATATTTGTTTAGAGAATGCTCAACACCATACCTGACTGCCATACAGCAACACAGTGCTGTTAAAGACATAGGCTTTTGCTGCCATGGGAATTTTGGGGTCATAAAAGGAGCTTTTTTGTTTCCTGAAGGCAATATAGCACTTTCTCCTTCTCCTGTTCAACAAGATCTCATATACATGATAAATTAAATAAAAGCTTCATTGATAAGAATCTAAGGGCTTCCCCCCCAAAAAAGTTAAAAATTGGCTTTCTTAACCAATAACCATAAGAGATACCAAAAATTAATAACTGATTTCTCTACATGTTCTGGACAATTAGGATTATGTACTATGAATCTATTATGTATATTATTGAGATTTTAGACAATGACAAAATAAAAATGGAGAGGGAGTAAGGATAAAGGGGCAGGCACAAGAATAGGGAATTTTTTACAAGGTTGCTTGTGGTCATCCACCTCTTACAAATTGCATTTCTTACCACTTATAAGTATTTTATGGGTAATGTGCTATAAAAACAACATTAATCAAGATAAAAAATATTTCTAGTAGCTTAATTTCAAAACTAGAAAATGACAGAGCTTGGGAAATGCTATACTTATTGGCTCTAATTCTTCACAAAGGTACTCCAAGACACTTACCAGTCTCCTCTCATGTTTTAAGTCAAATCATATCATTTTTAATAGAAAGGATAATATATTTATTACCAAAATCTAAGAACTTGAGAAATCACTCCAAATATAGTCCAAAGAAATATATACGTATTTTATATAAGTCATTCACAGCTTGCTTGTAACACACACATGCACACACACAAATAATCTACAAACCCTTATAAGTAATCAATATATTTTTCAAGTTAGAAAAATGCTGAGTCCAAAAGTTCTAGGTTTGTAAAGAGTAAACTATTATTGATTTGATAATTATTAAACAAATCTTTCAAAAGCACTGCAACATCTAAAATGCCTTTAATGATTATCACAAAGCCTGCAGATCAATCCCACTCATGACTTGTTCACATACTACAAATATATAAAAATGATCAAGTATAAGGAGAACACTGAAGTATTTGATGGCCATGTGGAAAACTATTCTCTCTTTATAAGCTACTGTAAATACAATAATGCCACGCACAATTGATATGCAATGTGGCTTTTTTTTTCATTGACATAGTTTAAGTTCATGATGATTCTGCTTGCCTTTTAATCAATTATCATATTTCCTAAATAAAAGAAGTATGGCCTCCAGGATAAAGAGGATTGAACCAAAGCATTTAATTAAACCCTTGATTTATATGAATAGCATCATGAAAATAGTATCATGGCTTTAAGAGCTTAAAATTGCAGTAAGATTTTTGGAACACTATATATATATATATATATATATACACATACATACATACACATATATGTATATATGTATATGTGTATAAATATGTATATTTACATACAAATGTATGCATGCATGTATAGTTATACATATTGTATATGTATGCAAATGTGGATATTGTTAAGGAATCTTTCTTCAATTACATCTAAATAGTATTTGAACCTGATGTAAAATGTTTTATTATGTGTAAAGGAAAATAGAGACCTTTGAGCTTGAACCTGGGGATCAAATTTAATTGAAGGCAAAGATGATATCTAAAAGTACTTTGGTTTATTCTCAGAAAGACACAATAGGCCAATAAACTTTTTTAGAATTTTATTAATTTATTTTGATTTATCAACAATCACTTCCATAAGCTTTTGAGTTCTCAGTTTTCTCCACCTCCCTCCCTCCCTCACCCCATCCCTTCCAAGACAGCATACAATCTGATATAGGGTATATATGTATATGTATATATATATATACACCTACACATTCCTATTAAACATATTTTCACATTAGTGATGTTGTAAAGAAGAATTAGAACCAATAGGAGGAACTACCAGAAAGATGAAACAAAACAAAACAGAAGAAAAAAAGAATAGCAAATAGTATGCTTCAATCTGCATTCAAACTCCATAGTTCTTTCTTTGGATGTGGACAACATTTTTCATCATGAGACCTTTGGAGATGTCTTAGATCCCTGCATTGCTGAGAAGGGCTAAGTCTATTAACGTTAGTCATCACACAACATGGCTGTTACTGTGTACAAAGTTCTCCTGGTTCTCACTTCACTCAGCTCACTTCACTCAGCATCAGTCCATACAAGTGTTTCCAGGTTTTTCTGAAGTCCTCCTGCTCATCATTTCTTATAGCACAATAGTATTCCATTATATTCATATATCACAACTTGTTCAGCCATTCCCCAATTGATGGACATCCCCTCAATTTCCAATTCTTTGACACCACAAAAAGAGCTACTATAAATATTTTTGTACATGTGGGTCCTTTTCCCATTTGTATGATCTCTTTGAGAAACAGCCTTAGAAGTGCTATTGCTGGGTCAAAGGGTATGCACATTTTTATAGCCCTTTGGGCATAGTTTTCCAAATTGCTCTCCAAAATGGTTGGATCAGTTCACAACTCCACCAACCATGCATTAGCATTCCAATTATCCCACATCGTCTCCAACATTTATCATTTTCTTGTTTTGTCATGTTGACCAAACTGATAGGTATGATGTGGTACCTCAGAGTTGTTTTGATTTTCAATAAACATTTATTAAATGGGATCACAAAGAGTCAGACATGACTGAAACAAACGAACAACAAAATAGAGATCAAAGCAGATTATGATAGAAAACTCAGGTCAGCTATATTGAAAGTAGAACATTATCACAGACATTTTAACTTGCTCACATTTACCCAGGCACAAGTTAGATCCATAAAAACAAAGTTTTAAGATATGAGGAATAACATAGAAGAGGACTTTGTCAGAAAGATGAACTGAAGCTTAAGACATGAGGAAAAAGGGAAAAAAATTGAAACCCTTCTACTACACACTGGATCAATGACCACTATTGAATCTTTACAAACACCTGAAAAGCAGGTCTTTACTGATAAGTGATGTCAGAAGCAGGACTTTTTCTATTAATTAACAAGAGCAATCTAGTCTTTCATTGATGCTAGAAGATCATAGCTCAGCCCTTTCTTGAATACTCTAATTTCTATTGATGTGATGAAGGCTAGTGGAAGAACAGGAACTCCTTAGATACAAAGGAAGCATCTCAAAGTAGCCAAAGGAGCCTTCACAGGTTTTATGCTCCCTGGGATTGCTATTCATTCAAGCTTTGGATGGCTGTAGCTCACATACTTTAATGACACATAGTCTTCAATAAACCCTCCTAAAATATATTCAAGGTACAAATTAAATTTTCCTTTCATCTTTTAGTGATGGGGAGATAACATTTATCACATCACTATCCATTTAAGGAATAGTTGCTGCTCAATGTTGAGGAATGGTCAGGATAGAATAATCACCTTTCCAATACCTGGTGAGGCCCATGAAACTATGACACATCAATACTATATGTTTCAAAAAGCTCTTGTTTATGTAATTAACAGAGATTATTAAGAATGTTTTGGTGTTTTATTATTTTCTTCTTTTTCTTCATCTAGAAGCATTGATAAGAGAGTCAGGATCATTCCATGATTATTCAGAATATGAAAACCCAAGCTTACATGAAAGGCAGGTTAAAGAGACAGTATCTTTTCAGTTAGATAAGTCTTCCCTAGATGAAAGATCCAACAATCATCTGCCCATTTTCATTACTTCAAAATTATTCATTCAACATATCTATTGAACTGAAATGAATCAAATATTTACTTAGTACATAATTTGGGCAGAATGGTACTTGTGTGTGTGGTAAGGGGAGAAATGAATATATCAAATTTAGAGAACCCATGATCTCAGAGGTCCTAAAATTATATTCAAGCAAAGGGATGTGAAACCAACCAAGATAGTAGTGCTTATAATAGAACTGGACTGATATTGATCAAGATTAGCATAGCCCCTGTGTAAAGATAACACCCAAAGTTGTGAACTCTTCCATATTTTAAAACTTTCTATTACTGATTAGTGCAGCTCATCTTCCCAGGCCCCAGGGTTACCACCCATATGTCATCTTGACTCTTCACTTACTCCTCACCCCCCTGTATCCAATTTTTTGCCTGTCGATTTAACTATTGTATCACCTCTTACAAATTACTCCTTTCACTCTTCTGATCTTTGGAGTCATTACCATAGTGCAATTAATCAATATTTTTAGTGACTGGCTACATTCTCCAGTGAGCTAAAAACAATGTGTCATGACATTTATGAAAATCTTCAAAATAATGTGCCAAAACATTTGTTAGAAAGACACAAAATGGGAAATATACAAACAATACCATGCTCTACTGAATTATTTTGAAGCAAAATTAACTATTTGACTATCTTTTAAACTTTTAAAGGAAGTAGAATTATGTTTTTTTTTCCTAAAAGAAAAATGAGGGAATGATTGGTGTCTTGAAATGGAAATTAAAAACAAACAAACAAACAAACAAATTTTAGCAGCTGGGATTTAAGTCTAGGACAGTTTTTTTTTTCCTCATTCATATTCAATAGTTCTAGAAAGCAAATGGAAAGAGATCTGAATATATAAGATTCTAGGATTCAGAACTTGAAGATCAGTCATTCAATAAATAGACATTTATTAAGCATCCTCTATGTGTTGGATATTGTGCTAAAAGCTGGGGCTACAAAAAGAAGCAAAAGCAGTCCCTGCCCTCAGTGCTTCATTTAGGCCAAATGCTTCATTTTATAAATGAGAAAATTGAGTCCTAGCAACATTAACTGGGTTGCTCAAAGTCAAAGTTGTTCAACGTGCTCAAAGTAGCAAAGCAATACAGAGAATCTAGGTTCTGTCCAAGGATCTGTCCAAGCAGCTTTGGAAAGAACTCAGTATCATGAACAGTATATGCTCTAACTATCTTTTCATCATTCATGTGAACAATTGCTTTTATTACAGTATGGAACCATTTGAAAATATTGAAGATACTAAGAAAATCAGATAGGTCCTACTGTCACTCCAGGAAAGACTGACTTATCTGATTTTGACAGCAAAAATGCTGACATAGAACATGACTTTCATATTCAAGATATATCCAGCAGGGACATCCTGGTAAATGCTTAACAATTGGCTGTCATCTTACAAAAAAAAAAGCACACCACTCTTTAAGATTTTATTTTCATCATTAATATTTTCTGTATCACTTTCTTAAGTATAGATAGTCAATAAAACAATAAATCAAGTCCTGTTTTATAATGTTTGCTGATTTCTGAGCTATAAATGTTCATACAAAAATTTTAACAACCTGCAAACCAGTGGAAGCTGGTTCCAGCATGCCTTTGACCCAGAAGACTCACCCACCCTGACTGATTCCCTTTTGCTGACTGAAATTATATAGGCTGTCACTAAGTTGCACCATTCTGCAGTGCTTAAAGGGCACCAGTCTTGAGACTTTTCCAAATCAGTCTAGTTTAGGATATCACGGCACCTAATTTTACCTCAGATAAAACCTTAAAGCAAGGTTTGGTTTAGTCAAAAATAACAACATGGGTAAGTTCAAATTAAAACATCAGTGTTGGGTATTTTAATAATGTCTCCTAAATGTTGAAGAGCAAATCTAGCAGTAACTTAAAACATGGGGAACAAAATTCCTCTACCATTTTTATGGTTTAAAACAAAGATTGGATGTGCAATTTATTGGGATAGGGACTTCCAGGTGAGGAAATTCTATCTACCTATATAGCACAGCATTTTCTCTGCAATTTATACCTTAGATTGTTGCCCAGAAAGGACAATTTAAATGACTGGGTTGGGATCACACAGCCAGTGTATGTGGAAAGCAAGACTTAAATCTTGGTCTTTCCAGCCTTGAGACCAGTTGTCTGTCCATTTTACCACAGCAGCCCTCATAAGAGGAGTCACTGTAGCCCTAAATGTTTAAATTCATCAGAGCAGCTGGGAAAGGATCTTAACTCTTTTACAATGCCACACAAATGTGAAAATAGGAACAACAGCTGCTCCCATCAAAGAAACTCCTTTGCAGCTTTGATTTCTCTGCATCTTTTCTAAGAGGCAGTGCATGCTAAATTGCACAATTCCCCTGAATTGATAAGTTGAGCACTTTTTATTCCTTAGCAACAGTACAAACTACAGTAGAGATGAAAAAAAATCAACAGGATACAAGTTGGAAACATATAAATAAGAGGCAAATAAAATAAAACTTATAAATATATAATGTTTATATGTGTAATATGTATTTAAATATATATATATTAATATTTTATGTAACATAACTATATATAAAACATAAATAAAATTTATAAAATAAAATAAAACTCATAAATAAGAAGGTTAAAATGGAAATCACTATTATTATGTCTTAAAAGGGAGAGCTTTGGCATGGACAATTAAAATCCAAATGACAAAAATGACTTTATTTTGTGTAGCATCTAAATGAATAATCTGATTATTTGTATTAAAGTTAAAAATTATATTTTGAAAATTACAATAACAATTATATTACTCCCCTAAATAAAATTCAAGTGTCTCTATGACCTTTCTGCAGAAACTGTCTTAAATGGGTTTTGCTTGAGTTCAAAGAAAATCTTTAAACTCCTGGTATTAAAACTGTGATGAATTTATGTATTTAAATTAAAATAATCACTCTTATAATTAAAAAAAATTAGTAAAAGAGACTTTCCCTCTACTGAAAAAAGCTTAGAATTAACTCATTATTTAAGGTAATAAGTAAAAAAAAAATTAGAGAGAAATATATTTATATATATATATATATGTGTGTGTGTATGTATATATATATAATATTTATAAGTATGCTGATACAAATCTATATGTTTTCTCCCCCAACCATAATATCTTGCAAATAGACTCTTAATAAATATTTGTTTATTGATTGATTTAAATAAACTCAATTGTATGAACGCTTCTTAAATTTTTTAAAATTAACAACTGAATTGTTTTGAAGGCTCAAATTTCTATTTTAACTGCTACTGGGCATTATTGTCTGATAATATCTAGTTCCTGCATATGGAGTCTACTATATACAATCTGTAATATATAACTGCCTTAAAAGTTAGAACTGTTTTTCTTTTTTTAGAGTGAGGCTAACTTTTCCTAATCTTTCCTCTCACCTTAGCCTTCCTATGCCCAAAAACCTCTCTCAGGTATTTCCAAGCTTAATATTTCAAAAGCCCCAAAGTATGGCACTCTTTTGCGCTATAGAAAATGGAGTGTTACTGATGTCATAAACAAGAGTTGAAATTTCTGTGCTTTTCTTTCTCTTATCAGAATTTTGTTTTACAGGTCAAAATTTTTAAACATTAGCTTTTGCATTCATATAGTTAGCAAGACATCATACATTTTATATTTCCAAGTCTATGAAATGTATCAGTTCAGAGTGTCAGAGTACAAACAGGAAGTCACATACCTTGTGTTTGCTTAAGAGTAAAACTGAAACCAGTGTACTTAGTCATACTGAAATCCATAGAAGAGGCAGGAAGCTTAGGGTTGCTGAATTTACCTAATTTTTAAAAAAAGGAGAAGAAGAAGAAAAATTATTGTATACTTTAATGTCACCATTAAAGGAAGAAAATTTACTGGAGATTTAAATGGGATTAAAAACCTTTTCCAATGAAGACATTGTACAGATACTGTTGTTATAGTATATTTGGAAATGTAATTCAATAGAATTTTAAAAGAATTTTCATATGTTAAAGAGCCTACAATATTAAAAAAAATCCAACTAACAGATATATAATCCACAGTATTCTAACTCCAATCTAGATGCCACATTCATAATTACTTATGTATTTAACAATAAGCATGGGTTATTCTTTATTATTATATCTGATGTTATTATTTTTATGTGTTATAAATGTCTTAATCCCCTTAGAGATCTCAGAGGTGAGAAAAAAACAAATTGATTTTGTTGCCAAGAGAAACAGAGAGAGAGAGTGACTATCAGTTCATTTATGAAAGTAACATTTACTGAAAGTCTGCTATGAATTAATTAATACACTAAGTGCTAAGAGAAGATTCAAAGGAAATAGAATCTTTAATTCCTACTATCAGGAATTGTACAATCTCTCTGGGGATTAATGTATCAGGTCACTTTATACACATGAATTCTGGCAGGTATCTCTCTAAGATTCTTCTTTTATTCCTATTGAGATAGAGGGAGATACGTAAATAGATAGATCCATGTATATTATTGTTGTTCAGTCATTTCAGTCATATTTGACTTTTCATGAGCCCATTTAAGTTTTCTTGGCAAAGATACTGGAGTGGTTTGCCATTTCTTTCTCCAACCCATTTTTACAGATGAGGAAACTGAGACAAACAGGGTTAAGTGCCTTGCCCTGGGCCATAAAGCTAGTAAGCGTCTGAGGCTAGATTTGAACTCGTCTTCCTGATTCCAGGTCTGGTGTTCTGTCCACCGCACCACCTAGCTGATATAAACATACACACACGTGTATATATACATACACCAATATAATATGCATATATTATGTTATATATGTGTATGTATATACACACATACATACAGTTTAAGACACCCTTCAACCAGGTATGCAGCTTACCTTAAAAAATGTTCCTACTCTAGTGTGTCATTGGGGTAGGGAAATGATTTTAAAATCTGAAAAGCTATGTTGGCCCTACCAAAATGATAAAAAGTTCTGAGTATATGAGTCTTTCTTCTCAAGACTGGCCTACATAAGTTGGTTAAAACTCATCATTAAAAGGTAGTGCTCAGATGGATTGGGTAAAGAGAATGGTAAGCAACTTATGAATGTCATCCAACAAGGCATAGAGGAGATGGACTGGCATGGGTGGAAAGAGTATCCAGATCCAGGAAATCACAGCTCCTTGAAGAATATCCATGTTTAGTTGATATTCTGGTGGAATTCAGAATGGAAGGATTTAGTTCCAACTTTGGTTATCTAAGTTTTCTCTCCCAATTTTTTTAAGTAAAAGAATGAGGACAAAGGAAAAGGTATAACACTTCTCCAATAAAATGCCAACCTACCTTTAGAGAAGATGGAAGTACAGCAATTTTTATTAAATCCAGACACTGCAATCAATGGAATTAACTATTTTGTAAAATCTTGTGATATTACTTAGCCTGAAGGAAACTTCTGACTGTTTTTCCAATTTTATAATGGGTTTGATTGATTAATGTGAGTTTCTTTTTTGAAATATTGTCATTCTGACTGGCAGTTTGCAAAGATCACAATATGCTTAACATAATATTTATTCTGTACTGAAGATGTTCTACAAAACTTTTAGAAGGCCTTTTAGGCATAAGGTTATTATAAGCTAATTCCAACAAAGGAAATTAAAAGCACTAGGCTTTGTTTCAGGATCACAGAAGTGATTCTGATTATGTTACCCACACTGTTTTGGGGTTTTTAACTTTATTTTGCCTTAATAATTAGTGATTTACATTGTAGCCATGAATACCCACAAATATTTACCAACCAATACATTTCAGTTTATTTTACATTAAATAATCCTTCCAAACTTAGAGAAATTATCTCTAAAATCCTGATGTGCAAATTTATATGAATATTGTATTAAATCCCTGATAGTATAATTTTAGTGAAAAAAAAAAAGCCACTCATTTCTACGTCAGTATGTGGTGATTTGTTTGAACAAAGGTGAGATAACTGATATGTGTGTTGAATTTAGACAGTGAAAAAAAAACAGAAAAGAGAATAATCTCAGACTATGTCAATCTTGAAGAATAAAGACAATGCAGAGAAATTGAAATTTAAAGGAGTTACTTTGTAACAGTTATGAACAGCATCCTGGGTTAAACAGCTAGAACTACATTGGTACCCACAGCATCTTAAAATACCTACAGGAAGCCACCTCTCCCATCCACTATGAATGATTTATAAGAAGATATGGCCAAGAACTACACAGAGGGAGGTAAGTTTTGACCCATATTCTTTGGGAGTGGGCAGGAACTGTCATATCCACGACAAAAGGAAATCTGTTGAAATATTGTACTGTTAAAAGCTAACTAAAATGTTCAGAAATCTTGAATTAGCTTTGAATGTTTCAATCTTGTATCCAATTTCCTCAAAGTTATTCTAGAGTTAACTTCTCACTCTCAGCTCAAATCAATTCAATACAACAGACAGAAGCACCCTAGCACTGCATATGGACTGCCTTAAAATCACTAAGCCTGGTTCTAATCCCACATCAGAGGTATGTTGGCTATGTGACCTTAAATAAATTACTTAATCTTTTAGTGTCCCATGCATTATTGAAGACTATGGAGTGCAAAGCAGATGCCAATCTGTATTAGTGGTCAGTGAAATAACAGGTCTAGTTAAAAGAAAATAATGTGCAAAGTACTGTGATGGGGCTACGGACATAGAAAGAAAGTGTGGGGTGGGGAGGGAATTATTGTCTTCAAAGTACTTATATTCTGCTTACATTCTTATATTCCTTGAGATAAAACAACTGAGATAGTGACCAAATTCAAATGAATTACAAATGTTGATATGTTTCACATATCCCAAATATGTGTCAATCTTGACATATTTACTTCCTACCTAAGCCTCTATATTTCTGACAAATAAATGGGTTCATCATGGCAGTAATAATCATAATCACTGGAATCTTTAGGAAGCTTTAAAATGTATTAAAACCCACAAACGTGAGCACACACACACACACACACACACACACAAACACACACTCAAATACAGATGTTTATAAACATTATCTGGTTTGAGCCTCAAAAAACGATTAAAAAAAAGTGCCTAGCTTTTACCTCTATATAGATAAAAACTAGTTGGAAGGAATCCAAGTTTTTAATCTTCATCTTACAAGTAACAAAACAGGCTCAAAGAGGTTAAATGACTTGTTCATGGTCACACAGCAAACCATCCTAAGAGACCCATCATGATATCTATTACACCAAGCTATTTTGTCTAACCTTTTAATGGGATTTTCTCAAGATCAGAATTCACAATGTTTGGCATATTTAGTATATATTAAAAATAGTGATACTTAACTCCCCTATATATAAGGGGAAAGCTGAATATAGCTGTACCCACAATTATTTTAATATTTTATTTTAAACTAATCATTAAGGCATTTGGAAGGATTTCCTACCAAAAGAATTAACTTTTCTTTAAATTGCTTTGTTCCATTGAGTGAGGTTCTTTAAAGGAATTGAAGTGTAAAAAAAAATGTTCTTCAAATGGCAATTAAATTAGTCCTAGTTTATTTGGCAAATTCACTTTCCCCTTCCTTTGGGGAGAAAGAAGAGATTCAAATGGTATAAGGACTCCCAAGGACATATCAAACAGGAGAGAGGAAAATTAAGAGATGTGAAAACACTTTGAAAAGTAAAGTCAAAGAATATCATGGATTCAGAAGGGAATGAGCTTCAGAAATAATTGAGTACAGATTCTGTTTTTGTTTTTGTTTTTAATAAATAAAGAAACTAAGGTCTAAGAAGGTTCAGTGATTTGCCCTAGGTCTCACAGACAGTGAGTAGAGGATTGAACTCTGGTCCTCCGACTTAAAATTCACCACTATACACTACAACATTGAATCTCAAGTTTGATTGTTTCCATGGCATTGGGAAACGTGTGTTCCCTAGGCACCAAGAAGACACGGCTTACAAAGTGTTGTGTCTGTGAAGCAAATTATTAACCACAAGCTAGTGCCCTACGTGTAACAACCAGTTCTTGGCCTATACCCCATATACTTTTTGGAGGTCCACATGGAAGTATAGTACAGAATTAGTGAAGCACAGTAAATTGAGCTTATCATTGAAATGAGGAATCCTGGAGTCTTCTAGAAAAGACTGCGCATCTTCTCCCTACCCTAATCCCCCAACCCTCCCATGACCTGATCTGATTCATAGGCTAAAAATTCAAGCAGATAATTAGGATGCTAACAAACTATCCTCCATCTCCATGGAGTCAGAGAAACAGAATCTCATCAAAAATAAATTTTTCAAAAATACTGATGAATTAAAACTGAAAAAAACATACTAAATGATTGTTTGAACATTTTAAAATGAGGACAAGTACACAAAACATCTCCATTAAACAATTTGAATGAAATTATTTTTAAGGTATCAAACAGATTTAAACGATAATCCTTCCAGCTCCAAGATATTAAAAAAATAGACACTCAAGGACAAAACATATAACAAAATGAGTGTTTACATAATGACATCTTTTTGTTGTTTTTCATTGCATAAAATTTTGGACTGTTATTGATGACTTTTGTTTTTTAATGTTAGTGATTTTTTAATATTCCTTTCCCAATAAGAGATAGAGAAGATCATAAAATGGAAAATGGATAATTTTGATTACATTAAATTAAAAAGTTTGTGCACAAACTAAGGCAATGCAACCCAGATTACAAGGAAAGCAGAAACCTGGGAAATCGTTTTTACTGCCAGTGTTTCTGAAAAAGGACTCATTTCTAAAGTATATAGAGAACTGAGTCAAATTTATAAAAATACAAGTCATTACCCAATTGATAAAT